GGCGGTGGGGACCACCACCTTGGGTCCGTGTGGAGGGGGGGGGCTAGCAGCCTCCACAGAGCAGGACGTAGCCAGGACCTGGGACTCGAACTGCAGCAGCTGGCCCATGAAGCTGAAATTGGGCGAGATGACACTGCGCCGCTGCCGCACAAACTCAAAGGCCTCCTCAAGGCGCACCTGCTTCCTCTTCATCAGGTAGGCCAGGCAGATGGTGGCTGAGCGCGAGATCCCCGCCTGGCAGTGCACCAGCACACGGCCATTGGAGGCCTTCACTGAATCTGGGGGAGGAAGTGGGGGAAAGAGAAGGTGAGAGTGGGATCCCAGCACATCGGGACACTTAAAGTGTAACGTTGACAGCATGACACTGTTTGCTTAACGGCTTGTCACGCTGTGTGGTTTCAATCATTTACACAACTGGAAGCCCATCCCTGAGGGGCAAAGGGCTGCCATGGGCATCCAAGCACCTACTCAAACTGGCCCAGCAAGGAACATTATAAACCCATCCATGCATCCAATTTCTATACCTGCTTCTCCTATGCAGGGTCGCATGGGTTTGGAGCCAATCCTGGAAACTATGTGCGCAACATAATAACCCATTCTGTTAACTAAACACTAGGGTATTTCAGAGTCTCAGAGACAATGCTCATTCAGAGGAAAAACCATAGACAGACACATATATTCTTTGGTGTGTGGTTCAGTGGATTGGGACACTATGCCTCTAATCTGAAGGTCACTGGTTCAAATCCCAGAGTAATTTCACTTTTGAGTCATTGAGAAATGTTCTTAAACCCCAAATTTCCCAGGGACTCGCTTAACCTGTATTCTCAAAAAAGTATGGATATGTTTTATTTATTTATCAGATGCTTTTACTTTCTAAAGAAAGCAGAGTCAGGCAGTCCCTGAAGGTATGTGGGCCTTGCTCAAGGGTGCAGCAGTGAAATTACTCTAAGCCTGGTATTTAAACCAGCAACCTTTCAGTCACAGGCACAGTATCCTGACCCACTGAGCCTCACATTGCCCCCATATAGAAGCATGTGCTAAATCAATACGAACATAAACAATCCGAATTTATAGTTAATAAAAAACTGTCCCTTTAAAAAAGAGAGCTTCAGAACACTTCTGCAAACAACGAGTCAAGGATGCTTTTAGATGCTTTAAAAAAAAACTTCGTTCTGTGTGGAAAAAGCCTCTGGCTTATTTTCTCTGCATCCTAGAATGGAACTGACAGCGGGAGACGGGCCTGGATAGCGGCTGTATGCCTTGCCCTCCGTCCACCTGCGCAAACGGCACAGCCTGCCCTAAGATAACGAGCCACTGATTAACGAGCCGGTGAGACCTGCCGCCACATCACAGTGAGGCCCCGAGGTGCACGTCGGACGCGGGGGGGCTACATTCATCACTTACGTTACATTAATTAGCTGCCAGCTGCCGCTTCCCTCCCAAGTGCTTTACGGTGTTTCTCCGTTTATGCGGCTCGATATTTTATCGAGGCAATTCAGGGCAGCTCCAGGCTCCGCGTCCGCCGCAGAGCCCCCCGATGGGATTTCCAGGATAGACTAAGTGTCTGCTACCGGTTATTAGCCAGCCTAACGGTCGGCACTCAGCGCGAGAGCGCCGCACACGCGCACACACGCGCGCGCACATCTAAGGGCTCTCCGACATGGAGCCGAGAGGCGGATGAGTCAGACCCCAGTCCCTCGACGTCGCACTCTGACGCATACGCGCTCGCAGGAACTTCACTGAGCTCCTCTGCTCTGCCTGGTGCTCAGAGGCCTGTCAGCTATCTGCCAAGACTCTCAAGCCCTGGAAACATTGGAAAGGCCAATGCTGTGTAGGGCTCTTATACTTGGCAACACCGAGTGTGGCGAAGGCTAGCTGTCAGTTCTGGAAGTTCGAAATACCACAGACGCCCTAAATCCTCCGTCTCTGTCAACTTCTTCACTTATTATCCACCACAAAAATAATTCCTGGATTCCATGCACCGTGTCTAAGGTAAAGAGTGCATGTAAGGCTCAGAGACCCAGTGAAAAGCTGGGCATTCACCTCAGGGCAGGTGTGTTGTTCATCCTGAAATAGCCTCATTAGCACTAAACACAGCAGCCCACCAGAGACAGAGCGCCACCCACCAATGTAGTCGATGGCCTCGATGAACCAGGAGCTGATGTCTGCCTTGTGGTTGTCTTCCACCGGAATGCACTTGTACGTGTAGACGCCCTCGAAGTGGTTGGGGCAGCTGGAGGACACATTGAGTAGCGCAGAAATGCCCATGCCATCCAGCATGTCCTTCTTGGAGGCATGATACGCGCTGCCCAGGAACAAGAAGGGAAGGATCTCCACTGGCCCGCCCTGGGAGAGGTAGAGACAGCAGGGTAACTATTGAGACACAACGGAGGCCTGCGGCTGGATCTGCAAATATATATATTTACTTGTGTGTTGTGGAAAAAAGGTCTTCTGTAAACATAAATGTATATAAACACCAATGGTGTGAATCGATGCGGCTGGCTCCACTATTGTATCAAGTTAATGGCGAGCTATTCACGTAAATACTATACTGGTTATTCCTCCCAGACCATGCGCCACATTAGAAGATGTCGTCGTAGAAAAACCTACTACAATGCGACATTATACAATCGCACCGCAACGGAAATGCACTATAGGAAGCTGGACAAATATAAATGGAGCCTAAAGTGAGAGTATCGATCTGGTTGTATTACGGGTTATCTTGCGCTCTTCCGGCCGGAAATCCGTGACGTTAAATTAAAGAAAGCTTCGATTTGTACAGACTACAGAGAGGAAGGTTGGCGATGCAAGAATTCTGCTGCCCCCCTCGGAAAGACAAAAGCGGAGTCTTTGGTGTTACACAACACGACCATGCGGGAAAAGCGGGGCCTGCGAGCGGCCTGACACCGCTACGCGTAAAGGGCTTACCTGGTCGTGGTGGGGGGTCCCACAGGAGCTGCAGCTGGGCTCTCCGCCGGACTGAAATGAGGAGCTGGACAAAATTTTGGTTTTCAGGCAAAATTCGGGATACTCCGAGAAAAATCTGTCGTAGCCCCCTGCGGAAAAAAATCGTTCACACCGTTAAAAACATGAAATTTACTAATAAGTAGGCTACATAATAAATATATTTTCAAGAAGGTTGGATGAATAACGATTATCCGTAGGCCATATTATTCCTGGCTGAAATCAAGCTTTGCGAATCAATCAGGAACATTATATTTAAATTAATTATGCTTGTGAAGCCCGCAATGTTTTTTTCGTAACAATGACCATCCGATTATATGATAATTATATATTATTTATAACCAGATGTGAATAACGTATATATTATGAAGAGACTTTTTGAAACAACGGTTATTCATTTCTTAGCTTAACATAATTAATAAAAAAGGCAAAACAATAAAAAAATACTGCATGATGCATACGTATACTAAGTCTGTTTTATTTTCACACTTTCATTTTACACAAAACGAATCCGTTTTTTATGAAATGCGAATTTCACCAGCTAAATCGTTACAGCATTTTGTAAAAGCCGAACTTATATGTAAATCAATATTGAAATATTTTTTTTTTGTACCCGATTCCCAATTCTTTAAGGCAAAGGCGATTGAATTTATAACGTACCGCTAGCTTATATTAGGCTACCATACATTTCAGGGGATGCGTGTCATTCAAATTTGGTACGATTTTATTAAACACAAAACTTTGGCTTTGTGATAATAAGAAACCTTAAGGCGGTCAGAGAACGTTACACATTTCTTTAAGCGTATCAAGTGCGCTTTGTGATATACAGTGTTTTCCTTAAATTCTATGACTATGACATAACGGTAGGAAATCTAGCAGGCCTGCTAAAAATATAGATTCTATAATGAATGTATGTATATATTATAGACATTCAGTTTGTTTCTGTTATTTTTACTATTACTTCTCCAGCTCAATTCAGACTTCTTTGTACGATCCATAAATTAATTTCGTAACGATCGCTTTATTTTACATTTATCGTTGTCATTCCATCATCATTTCCTGAATTACCTACTGTGAATTTTCATAATAAAAATCCAAGACACATGCTTTAGCAGGACTATTAAATGATTGTTAAGATACGGAATGCACACAAAACGCGGTCGGTTACTGGAAGTGAGAGGCTAACGATGTCGCTTTTGGCCATCCGCATTACATCATTGTTGTGATGCGCAATCATGTTGGCCATGTTTGGGCAAGAACTGCAAAAACAAAATTAAAAGTACATTGCTATTTAAGCGTTTTCTGAAACGCTAAGACACTTATACTTCAGGAGGTAACGCCTGCCCTTTGCGTATAGCTAGACGTAGCCGCTCTCTTGTGAGTGGACAGAGTGAGATTTCATGCACTCCTCTTTTGTTAGTGTAACGTGGTAGATCGTGGTCACTTTCTTCAGACTAACGGACCGATGGCTCGCCCCGATAATAAACACGGCTAACAATTCATCCACAGCGCAAGTACCAGTGTCATTTAAGTGGGTCAACCAGACGGTCACATTGTTTTTTTACCTTTCAGTAGATATATTTCAGTCCCATATGTAGCCCTGTACAAGGCTTTAAGAACCAAATTAACCGTGCTGTCGTCCTTCACGTTGTCCGCATCATGCGTCCTCTCGTCGTACAGAATAACAGCGGAGTAGAGTCCGGATTGAAGCCGCATTTTGACCTCCTCGTCACCCGACAGGATCTGATCCAGGGATACGGAGCCCTTCGCCCGTCTCCGCACGATAGTGTTACAGCGGATGTTCACAGCGCCTCGGATGTGTCCGGCGCTGAAAGCCAAGAAAGACCTACAGTCCAACAGCAGGCATTTCCCACTGTCCTCTTTCAGCAGCCTTTTCAGCACGTTGCAGTCCATCTCACACAGTCCGTTCATCGTAACCATTTCTTCCCAAGCGTACACAATACTAATAAGACTTTTCAATCTATACGAATATACAGGATGAGAGACAGCCGACGATTATACATCCTACGCAGGTCCTTGTGTTGTTGTGCCGTGTTTATTCTCCTGAGAGGATTACTATCTCGACCAGTGACTGCTCCTTCCTTTTTATGAATGGGCTTCGGCCGCCACTGCCATAAAAGGAGAGTACCGTCACTGGGGCGGTGACGTCACGTTCTAGTACCATTCATTAACCCTTCTCCCTTTTCATTCATAAAAAGTCGGCGATTCCTGAATGGTGACAGGAGCTAAAATCGCCGGCGCTACCGATTGTAAATAAGCGTGTGTCGGCTACGCCGCTTTGCCTTGAAAATGTAGACATGACGGCGTTGCGAGGCGGCAGCGTGTTCGTTTCCTGTCAAACAATGGTATCTTACTAATACGGTCAAGGATAAATAAATACATTTCTTGTCTCACAATGTTGCCTCCTTTTTTAAATGGGGGCAAGGTGTTATTTTATTTTATTTTTAATAATCGTATTCAGAGTTACACAAGCCAAATATCATTTAAAGCGTTGGTGTCCGCTCAGAGGCTTGCGTACGAGGAGCACGGTTTATGCGTAGACAGCCCCGGAATGGCGAAGAGCGCTGTCCCAGGGATAGGCGGAGGACGGGGTAGCTCGATCCGCGACGTCGGACACGGAAGATGCGGAAACCCCTTTCCGAGCGGTCGGTCACCTCGGAGACCGGGACCCTCACCATCCTCACCGTTGCTCCTCTTTTCTTTACCTATCATTCACCGACAGCCGTTAAGTATCGGAGCCAGTAATTCTATACACAGTGGTTGAAGTGGGCAGGTACTCACCAGTTATCACTGGTACATAGTATCGGTACCAAGGGCGTAACTTTGGCTGGAACATTGGGGGGGGTCGAGGTCTCATGATTATAGTAAAAAACATGATTATTGGGGGGGTTATATTGGCTGGATCTGGTTATTGGGGGGTTCATGACCCCCCTAACCCCCCTGGAAATTAAACCCATGGGTACCTGTGTCTTTCTCTTAAGAGTACCTGGAACGTGTCTTGCGTATTGGCATCTCATATAATATCAAGGCCGTAATCATAATATTTTAGGGAGCACATTGCAAGCACATCTAAATATTGTGGGGGACGTGTCCCCCCCAAAATATATTATTGCATGATATACATGTAGTGAGTAACAAGGTGAGTACTGGCGCCTGTTTTTTCACACTTAAAGCACTGTGTGTAGTTCTACATATTTGCAAGCTGCACTACATTATTTCTTACTGCCCCAAGTAGAGGGCGACCATAAAACAGCTTTAAAATGAAGTCAGGTGATCTCTATTGAGAAATGAACCAGGCTAGGAGGGGGAGGGGAGTGGCAGCGACTGACAAAGCCACCAGGCTTCCTTCCGTAACATGCTGCCTTGGTCTGAACCTGTGTTAGGGGTGATGAAAAACAATGACGGGGGTTATGGGGTGCTCTCATCCATCCATCCATCCATCCATCCATCCTATCTATCTATCCATCCATCCAATCTATCTATCTATCTATCTATCTATCTATCTATCTATCTATCTATCTATCTATCTATCTGTTCGGTCATCCTGCCCTGTCTGTCTTAACCTGTTTTATCTAATATAATCTGTGAAATCTATCATTTCTTTAAATATATGCAACCACTCAATATTATTCGTTCAGAGTCACAAGAGACTGGTGAGAAGCGCAGGTTCCCTGTGCAGTTTCCAGCATTAGAGGTGGGGCCCAACCAAGGTAAATATTCTGTTAAAAAATTTAAAATATTTTGTTTAAGTAAACGCTCGGTTTCTCAACACAAACAGAACCTTCGGAATGCACAGCTCAGATTCCAGAAGGAGCCCTGCTGTTGTACCCTTGAACTCGCATCGGACCCAAAGCTGCTCCAGAAAAGCATCCAGCTGTTTGAACATGCAAAACTCACTTCAGATTAAAGTGTCAGTTAAACAGCCAAAAGCAGTCCGCCCTTGTTTCCTGCCCACTGGTTTAAAATGGGTCTGCCCTGCAGTGAATGTCACACCCCCGGCTCTCAAATGAGACCTCAGGTCACGGTCTCAGTTCACGTAGCCGCTGTTGTAAATGTTTAGTGAAATGAATGCCCGCGACCTCTGTCGGGAGTGCCCTGTTTGTGGGTGAAGTTTTTCCATCGCTCTGACATGCTGTCTGCAAGCGGTTCCTCAGCACCCTGGAGCGAGCAGCTTATTTGGTGTTTTGCCAGAAACACTGTTGTTTTTGTTGATGTTTTCACACCACCGGCGTCCTGGATTCTGGCCTCGTGTCAAAGACCATTAATTCCATGTGCTTAGTTTCTGCTCGTCGGTGCGGCAGCGAGCAGTTAATGAAGAGAGCGGCTCTAGCGACCCCCCCCCCGCCGTTCAGCAGCCATCTGCAGCCCCGCTGAGGTTTCCGCCCCTCCCTGTTGTGGTCCACTTTGCTTGGCGATGACCACTGTGGGATCCAGGTGCTGTCAGAGGGCTGTTCTGGTCCCAGATGAGGCCCTGGTTCTAAAGCGAGACCCAATGGGGCGGTTGGCCACGCGCTGCATGGGGTGAGAGGTCACCACACTTCGATGTGTCCTTTCCGGCTGCGGGGGTGGCTCTAAATAGGTCAAAGCAAAGCCTGAGGAACTTTAATACACAATTCATTCAGCAGCATGAACCTCAGCGGGAGGGGGAGGGCCTGCCATGGCCCTCTCGTCTAATTGGATCTTCACAAGATTCTCGTGGTTCAACAGGAACCCTTCTGATATTTGCATAACTCGGATTATGTTGCTGGGCGGAAGCATGCGGGTCACGTAAGGTGGGTGCATGTAAAGTGAAGGGCACACCCCAAGGTGGGCGTGGCCAGATGGGAAGGTGGTGGATGGTTTCTAAGAAAAGGGAATGGGTGGGCGTTCCGTTTATCAAAGCTGCTGTCATGTGACCAGAAGAGCTTAAGAACTGATGTCCTCCACTGTCACCCGCTGTCACTTGCGGGAGGTCAGATTAGCCACAAGCCGGTGCCACTGTATAGCGGTTGTGTGATTTATAACATAAAGGGGTGACAGATGTATAAAGATCACCAGTATTATGCGTGCAGATCCACTGTGCAATTCCTCTGTACATGCAAAGGTTAGGATGTGCGTGTGCTTGTGTGTGTGTCTGTGACCTGTAACTTTTTACCATGTACCGACATTTTTTCAGTCCCCACAAGGATTATCTCAATTTTATAAATAGCTGTAACTGCAATCAAAAATCAATAGCCAAAAATCTTGCATTTTGTTGGATTACTTTTGGTTAAGGTTAGGGCTGGGTAGGGATTAAGGTTGTCACTTTTGGGACTACAGCTATGCCCATAGAGTTGAGTGGAGAGTCCCCACAAAGAAAAGAATACATGGACTATGTGTGTGTGTGTGTGTGTATGTGTGTGTATGTGTGTGTATGTGTGTGCAAATCATCTTCTGCTGGGGAATAATGAGTCTTTCAGTCACAGTGATTGTGGTGATGAAATCTCAGTATCTGGTTTGTGGACAATTTAGAGAGACATTCTGCACCCCCCCCCCCCAACCGCACACAGTGCTTTATGATAAACTGCCAGTGGTTCATATCCTGGACAGAGTATGAGTCACTTGCCTGTTTGTATCCCACACAGTCGCGTTCAGAGTGGTGTCCACCCCTTTCTTCTCTATCTACGTATCAAGGCCCCCCCCCCCCCCCCCCCCCCAATAGCAGAGTCTGCACTGTAGCGTTGCCCCCGCCTCCTGTTCTAATTCTTTGGCTCTGTAAACCCATAATCCAACAGGACATGCGGTGCGCACTGCTGTGTTCAGCGCGCGTGTATGTGCGTATATCTGCATCAGGATGTCGGACCTGCTGGCTCCTTCTGCCTGAGTCCGGAAGTGTGGGGGGGGGGGGCACACCCCAAAGCCCCTCCCCCCTCCCCCCTTCCTTCAGACACACCTGGTTACACACTCCTGGAGGAAAGAGGCTGCTTTCTCAGACACATATTTCTGTTCTGTGAAGCGAGTGGACAAGTGAGCGGTTGACCTGGCTGAGGCCGGGGGCCGTTTTGGCCCGTAACCCGACTGCCGTGCCGGTTCTACTGCCGGGCAGAAGCATGCGGGTGTCAGACGGTCATCACCAGCTGCTCATCCCATAATTTCTTGCAGCGATGCCAGAAAATTTGAGATAATAAAGTGGCATGTCATAATCAGGCTAGCAGGGGTGTGACTTTCCCCTCCTACTATGAAAAACGTCGCCCTAGCTGGTCCAGACCAGAATGTCAGGTGAACGAAGCGAGAGACCAAAGCGCTGAGTGACTGGGGTGTCATGCTGGGTTACTGTAGCTGCTTCCCGTATCTGCCCAGCCCCCCCCCGTCAGCATGCACACCACCCCCACCACCTGACGGATGGTTCTGGCAGCATGAAAAGTAACTTCCTCTGTGCCTGTGTGTGGGGGTGGAATCGGTGGGGGGGGCACAAGTAGGTTGACCCTTTCAAAATCCCACCTGACAGCATCCAGCTCTTTGTGGGGGGATTGATTTGTGTTTGTAAGTCAGGTGCAATCAGAAATCAGGCCGCTGCAGAGAAGGAGTTGCTATGAGTAATGTGTTCAGTGTTAGTCATCCGTTTTCTGTTCTTTTTTTTCTATTTTGTCTGCATGTCTCCTTGGGAGGGGGGGGGTGTGGTATTTTTTCCTGCAAAGTGCTCTTCTGCATGCAATGCTCCATGCTCACTCATAACCGCGACACTGTTTGCATGTTGTGCTACCAACGCAGGCTTCTCTGTCAGCATTAGCGCCCCGTGTCATTGCGCTACGCTTCTGGCTCCCAGCGCTCACACTAGCAAGCTGCTCCAAACCACTTAGCACGCGGTGGGGGCAGAGCGCACATTTCCAGCTCTGAGGAGGGAGGGTGTGCAACTTCATTTTGGTCTGAGCTAACAGTGATATTTGTGCAGTACTGATGTAGTCATCTTGGGACCTAGTGAAGGATAATATCAGCCTGATGACGGTTTCGGGGAGCAATAACAAGAAAGCAGGCTATTACACTAGGGAAGAGGTTTTCCCATAATGCTATGTCTTCTTAAGAAGGTCTTAATGTGCTGAGTAGTCCTACTG